CGCAATTTCTCCTCTACCTCGACCCGATTGCCCTCGGAATCCAGGTTGTAGAGGTTGGAAGCTCGGCACATGTACTCGCCCATGTGGACATCTTTGAGGGAGTCAAATTGCAGCTGACGTTCCATTCCGCGTCCGTTCGGTTTAAACGCGGACACCTGCAGCGGGGGAGGAACAAGAAATAGGAGGGGATCATATTCGGCACTTATGTGTTGTGTGTGCATTGTATCCTTTAGGCCTTAAGTGTCCTGGAAACACATCCTACCCTCTAAGCTTAGAACTATCTCTAGGAGGACAGAAACCTTCTGTTTATAGACCTCTAGTTGATCTGAAAACAACAGGAATATCACGGGGTTATGACCGAAGATATTTCATTCGAGTCCAGTGAAGTTGTCCAAGGGCGAAAATACAATTGATCCAATTGTGAAAAATGTGTGGCCTCGGCGGGATTCGAACCCACACAGCAGGGAAGGCCTTAGTACAGCCAACGCTCTACCGATTGAGCCACGAAGGCACGCCGAAGCGCTAAATTTAATCACACTTGGGTTGATTTAATTGCGATGTATAATTGAATTCAAAGTTTCGGCGTGCCTTCGTGGCTAAATGGCAGAGCGTTGGCTGTACTAAAGCCTTCCCTGCTGTGTAGGTTCGAGTCCCACCGAGGCTACACATTTTTCCCAATTGGGGCAACCGAATTATTCAAATCTGCCAAACTCTCCTAATAATTACGTCTGCCTAGTAGTCATTCTGGTGGATTATAGATGATTGCTCAGGAAATCCTGCCTGGGCAGTCACCTTACTGTATCCAGACAAACTGATCAAACGAATTAAGGGAGAAATTTACAGGCCTGAAGAGAATTGATCGAAAACAAACGTATGCTCGCCAATTTGCCTTTTTCACAAGGGGACTTTCCCAACTTTGAAGAAGAAAGGACCCTTGGTTCGACCCGCAGTAGACTGTCGATCTGGACAGATATTTCTGTTTTTCCAACCTGTCGGTGAACTCTGCAATCAGTAAAGAAGTATCAGACCGCATCTTCCGCACTCGGTGATGATCCCGGTTTCCTCTGCAATG